GTTTGCTGCCAGAATAGACTCTTGATTATTCTAATATCCTACCGAAATATGTCAAGCTTGCTGAGCACTTTCAACAGATCATTAGTGCGTACTTTATTGAACACCATTGCGTAATCTTCAAAGTTGCACGTCGTTCTGCATTTGTATTGCGGTTTCTGAGTTCATTTTTTTTCGTATGCAAGTGTTTTTCTCCTAATAGATGTTTCATATTTCAACTAATATTTCAACTAATAAGAAATATTTGTCTAGTGATACAAGACATGTATAGAAATCGTTTTCACATCTTCCTTGTATTTTCTCTATGTTACTTAATTAAAGTTTTTCCGAAACTAATACTGACATGTTGATTGAAATAAAAAAGCATAAATCTAAGATGGCAGAAGATCACATCGAATATACATAATAGCAACTAAAGTATATATATATATAAACAAAAATGGCTATTTTTGTAGTGATTTTATAACATACTTATGTTATAAATTTTTTTATAAAAATAATTATATATATATATATATATATATATATATATATATATATATATATATATAAAGTGAAAATTGAAGTCAACACTTAGCGGCGATAGGCTATTTCATGCTAAAGTGGCCTGACGATTGTGTCTAGTATGAAAGAGCCTATCGCCTCTAAGTGTTGACTTCAATGTTCACTTTTATATTTACACACGCTCTATCTCTGATATTGAGCACTTAATCCCATAATTATAGCTCATCTTAAGACTATATTTCTTCATATATATATATATATATATATATATATATATATAATACATAAAAGTTTAATGTTAAGAGTTGAATCAAACCAGGAAACTGTAGTATTAAAAAGTGCTCAATACACATGTAAAAAACAAGAGTAAAAATAACAGGCAGAGCTTTTAACTTTAGAAATCAGGAGATGAGTTGACTCCACTACCTTGATTTCAACCATACGGTATCCTCAGACGATTTTTTGTTGAAAAGAAGTTAGCAGATTCAACTGTCCTGATTTTTAAAGTTATATATACATATATGTATGTGTGTGTGTGTATGTGTGTGTGTGCAAGTGTTGACTTCTATGTTCACTTATATATTTACACACGCTCTATCTCTGATATTGAGCACTTTATCCCATAAATATACCACACTTTAAGAGTATATTTCTTGATATATATATATATATATATATATATATATATATATATATATATATATAACTTACGGATATATGTCTAGCGCTTTGTATGTACAACGTTTGATAAAAAAAGAATCGGAACTGCGGCTAAACAAAAAGAATAACACATATTAATCTCCTTCAAAGTAGCCTCCATCCGAATTAACCAACTTTTTTTCCAGCGTCGTTTCCATTGATAGAAGATTTCTGGAACTCGTTTTTTGAGATAGCCAGCGGCTGCCTAGTCGCATTCTTTTAGATTTCTTCGACCTCTTCAAATCTTGTTCCATTCAAATGGGATTTGATTTTTGAAGTGGATAAATTTCGCATGCGACGATATCTGCCAAATATGGTAATGGTCGGACCTGAGTAATGTTTTGCTTGGACAAAAACTACTGCACAAGTCATGGTCACTGATAAGAAACTCTGTTATGTGGTTAGACGACCACACTCTACACACTTCCCTTCCAAGCACTGCTATAAACAAAGGAAGTGAGTGAGTACGTTATTTTGTGTGCATACGCAACAGAGTTCAAGATCTCTCTGTACTTCACTCTATGTACTCTCGCTCATTTACCATAGCAACAGGGCGGATACTTTTGCATCAAACTTCATATTTCGACTGCACTTAAAAAAAATGAATAAAATAAAAATTTGGAAGTTGGTTTTTAACGCTGACATGTTATTTTAAAAAAAAAATTACCCAATGCAAGCTTGAGGGCCGTTCAAGGCAGAGCGTGGGTGATATGAATTTAGAGAAGCAAAAAGAAGTGACGTTGAGAAAGCGACTGACCGTTAACTTGAAGTGTGTAATATTGCAGTGTTCAGAGAAGCATCCTCGCGGGAGTCCATTCCATAAAGTTGCAGTTCTCGGGGGAAAAAAAAACTTAGTTGAACTTCTTCCTTATAATAGGGAAGAATTCTGGGTGACTCAACTACATCGATGTAGCATTGTGATTGCTAGATATAAAAGTCTAAACTCGTGGAAATGAAAAGTGGAGCTTGTGTAGACATTTGATATGGAAATGGCGACTAAACTGCAACGTCTTTGAGAATGTCTTTGCAATTTAGAAAATAAATCTTCCCTTACAATCGCTTAGAATGTTTTTAACTCTATCAAAACTAGCAAGTGGGGACTGATCATCTCCCACCCAAATATGTTAGCGATAATCCCTTTTCGATTTAATCCGGTTCTTATAAAATTAAAGCAAGGCAAGAGAAGGAAGACGGGTAAAATGAACCGGGCATTTTTAAGGCATCTTTAGCTATGGTTCGTGTATGCATGAATTTCGCTTGGATGCCCAGATGAGGAATTTGATAAATGATTATTTCTATTTATTATTATTATTATTATTGTTGTTGTTGTTGTTGTTTGTATGTAATGTTTCCTGGTTTGTATCCTGTAGAACCGGGTGCAAACTATGGTGCTTAGGCCCTATAAGAAAATTGTCATTTAATTGATAGCACTTTTCTTAGTATATGGGATGATCCTAGTAGAGCGATTTTCTGGGCATCTTTTATGCTGATGTTACCCCTGGGACCCTGTTAGTAAAATTGCCCCTTTCTTTTCTCACGAGGCCCAGAGCTCCGATTACCGATTACTATTGGTATAATCTCAGTTTTCATCCCCCACATCGTGTTAATCTCGATTTCTACGATCTTGTATTTGGAAAATTTCTCGATAAATTTTATGGAGGTATTTCTCTCAGATGGTACTTAATAAGCATACACTTCCTGAATTACTTGTCTTTTATGATAATATCAGGTCTGTTGGCTTTTATTTCCCTGTCAATTTGAATTGCCATGTCCCAGAGGATAGTTACATTGTTATTTTGGGTAAATGTGTCTGATTGATAGTCATACCATCTCTCAGTGGTTTTGATTTGTTGCTTCTTGCATATCTTCCTGCGCACATATGTCGCTTCCTTGTTATGTCTCTGGGTGTATTCATTTTTTGGCAGTTCCGGACATCCTGAGATAATACGGTCGATAGTTTCATTCTATTTTCTGCAGATCCTGCATTTCGAGTTAGTTCCATCCTTGATTAGATGGCAGTGATAGGATCTGGTTGCAAGGCTTTGGTCCTGAGCTGCAATTATTATTATTATTATTGAATTATCCTTTTATTATTATTATTGTTTCAATGTTATCTTTCACCTCTCTTATGTTTACTACCTATCTCCCCATCCTTCTTCTTCTTCTTCTTATTTTTCTTCTTCTACTACTACTACTACTACTACTACTACTACTACCACTACCAACGCTACTAACACTACTACTACTATTATTATTATACGTTTTGCCTTTGCTGTGTGTAAGAGTTGAGCCCAACATCCAAACGGATATTTCTAAAGACATAATTATTATTATCTAAAAAAAAATGTTTTGCAAGTATTTGTTTTATAATCACGTGGCTAATGATTATTTTAACTAATTTTAACCCGTGAAAATTTCATAGGTTTCTTTTTTGAAATTTCTAATAAATCTTAATTCTTCAGTTAATGAATGAATAAACCCATGGCGAGTTCTACGTCAATAAAATATCCATAGAAATTCTCCTTAAGTATTCGAGCTTAACAACTTTAACAAAATATTGCAATAACAATCATAAATATGAATGCTGGTCGTTATTTTAAGAAGTAAGGGGGTACAAATGAAAAGATTTGAAAATGACAACTTTTCTTTTTCAATGAAACAGACGTTAAACACATCTATCTTCCTTTTTTCTTTCATTTTCTAACTGAAACCAAGTAGTGCCTTTCATATGCCTTTTGTCTTCTCACGCTATCAAAACGAAATAGTTCATTATATTGGCAGGGCGTAACGATCGAGCGACGCAGCGAAAGGATGGAGAGGCACAATACGATAGTTATTTTAGTGTAATGTATATTTTTAATTACTATATCGTTAATATAAGCAAAACATTTGTAAATAAAAATAATAATAAAATATCTGAAAATCCGGACATGTCATCAAAAACAATCAAAAATTGAGTTTTCATTTACAGGATATCACATAAAAACCTTTCGTATGTTTTAACTAAAAACATAACATTTAACTAATTACATAATCGGTTGGTATACAACTAGGATCGAACTCAGGGTATTTATTTTACGATAGAAACATTGTTCATTATGCTCCATTTAATTCCTGAACGCCTGGCTCAGTCCGGACATGAACAATGTACGCCTATATGCACAGTGCACTCATGAATTACGTTTTCTTATAAACAACTAGGCATGTAATATGTAGTTAGGTGTGTATGAATAATTTCCGAATAGTGGCCTGGATCTAAGGGCCTTCGGATAGGCAAAGGGCCGGAGTTATTTTTTTGTTGTTTTGTTTTCATTTGAAGACGAAAAGATTCATTTACAAATGTGATTGCCAGGCGTCTGTTCCTGACACGAATCTGTCACTGATACAACGGTGGGCAGAGGAACGGATACAATGGGTCTTGGGGTAACGTTGCTGGTAAAAGAACTGAGAGGAATGAGAAAAATAAAACGCTTTATAAAGAAAAAAAAAAGGGCGAAAGATACAGCACCCACAAAACCAACACACATACCACCCCATATATATATATATATATATATATATATATATATATATATATATATATATATATATATATATATGTCTGTCTGTGTGTGTAAAGCAAAAATAAATAGATGCATATATATATGGATCTGCTTATTTTCTTTTTTATACCATTGATCAATAACATAAGCTGCACGAATTTTTTTTCTTTTATTTCCACTTTTATTTATTAGATTTTTTCTTGTATATTTTTCTTCCGCTGTTTTCTCTATGATCAAACTAACAAAATTAGACGCACTATGGCATACGAAGATGATGAGACCTGTGAAGTAAACGAGGACACTATATATATATATATATATATATATATATATATATATATATATGCAGAGAGAGAGAGAGAGAGAGAGGGGGAAGAGTGGGAGAGGAGAAATCTGGAGAGACAGATAGAAGTAGAAGGAGGGAAGGAAAGAAAGAATTGGATTCATCATTGTAAATACACATTTAGTGTCAGAAATCAGAGTTCATACCCAGACATATCAAAATATCGAATACTGATTTTCTAGGCGAGCTTGCCCTGATAACTTCTACGATTGTTGCGAGCAAATATTCTTATACCATTTCCTCGTCTGTAATCGTCCTTGGTCTATCTATCTATCTATCTATCTATCTATCTATCTATCTATCTATCTCAGTCTGTTCTTTGTCTATCTATCAATCTATCTATATCTGTTCAAATCTATCGATCTGTCTTTCTTTCTCCCACTCTCGCTCTATATATAGGTATATCATCATCATCTTCTTCTTCTTCATTTATCTATCTATCTATCTATCTATCTATCTATCTATCTATCTATCTATCTATCTATTATTTAAAAAATGGAAGGCGCAAGAGACACTCTCTCTTTCTCCCAATTGCTGTATGTAGATACCTCACCTTCATCTATCTATCTATCTATCTATCTATCTATCTATCTATCTATCTATCTATCTATCTATTATTTAAAAAATGGAACGTGCAAGAGACACTCTCTCTTTCTCCCAATTGCTGTATGTAGATACCTCACCTTCATCTATCTATCTATCTATCTATCTATCTATCTATCTATCTATCTATCTATCTATCTATCTATCTATCATGTTTAGGCATATGAGGTTCTTTTTAATTGTATTTTATTACGATATGTCCTGATATTTTGCACTGAATATCAGATATGCAAAAGTCCTTTTTTGCAACTTCGGAAACTATTCTCGACACATGCTTGCACCTATTGCTTGATTACTAAAGCTTCATTGGTGAATTGCCTTATGCTGCATTTTATTTTCAATCACTATCAAATGTGCATATTATATTTAACCACGATTTGTTTACATTAAATTCAAATTGTCTTTTCAGCAACATCAATAAAAAAAGTGCGTAGATTTCAGAGACATTTGTCCAGTTTCTCTAACATTTTGCAAATGATTGCACTGATAACCGATATATCAACCTTGAAACTGCAGTTTTAAAATGATGGTAAACAATGCTTTTAATGTTTATATCAAACAATTCTAATGAGTGTTAAATGTATTTAATATTAAATGCGCGCAACTTTGTTATTATTCCATTCATTGGTAATTTATAAAAAGAAAACCGGTTTCCAGCCCTGTATTAGTTTTCTCGTTTTCAAATCATATTGTATGTTAGAAAATCTAGCAAATATTATCTTATCGTAATCTTACTGGATATATTTGAAAAATAAAAACAATGTGAAACGACCAAGTACATATTCTATTATCTAATGTTTCTCTCTGCACACTTCATGCATATTTGCTCCGGACAGAAAACATGGAAAGATTCCATCTAAGTCCACTAAATATCAACTCTTACATTCCGACAATATCAATTTCTGTATCGCTCAAAATTACGATTTCTATACGCATGCGCAAGCAATACATCCGTTTGATAAGCGTATATGATCCAGCTTCGGTCTGACGTCCGCGTTATTTTCATTGATAGACAATCTTTGAATATAAAGAAAATATGGATTCTTCCCACCGAAATCCTCTAAAAATCATGTCAAAGAATGTAATCTATAAGAAAGTGTAAGTGACAGTTCGTGGCAAGGAGAAGGGAATTGAATTTCAAAGAGAAAAAAGAAGAGAGAAAGGAAAAAATCGAATAGATGCAGATTGTTCATAAAAAATGAAAGAAAAATGTTGAATGTAGAATTCCATGGGAAAATAATTTTATAAATAGACAAATAAAAATGTTCATGCACTGAATATATATATATATATATATATATATATATATATATATATATATATATATATATATATGAGATAGAACAAAAATACAGTTGGCTCTGGTCATCTTTTTATCAAAGGTCTACCTCCCTGATTACACCAGTATTTCTCAGAAGATAATCTCTTAAAAACACATACTTTTTCTATCATATTTATCATCAATCTAGCTACATCTATCTATCTAATATATATATATATATATATATATATATATATATATATATATATATATATATATATATGTGTGTGTGTGTGCGTGTGTGTGTGCGTGTGTGTTATAAATTTGGGTATAGGATCCCGATAGAGTTATAAATTATTGGCAACTAGAAAAACATTCATAAAAGTATAATGTTTCGAAAAACGTCCGACTATGTATTTCGCCGATATACTTTCATGAACGTTTTTCCAAATGTCAATTAATTTATAAATCTGTCTGGATTATCTACACAAATTTGTTACATACTCTCAACATCGAGAATTCATGTCTAAAAAAACGAATATTTCCTTTATTTTCTACCCATTCTGTATGATTTCTCTCTCTAAACTCGGACGCTTATTTTCTTTCTTTTTCAAAATTGCTCAGTGGGAAATCTCATAATGCCATTTCTGACCTTAGGTCTCTGGTTGGGACCCGGGAAGAAATGAATACACACTAGAAAAACAAAGAAACCAGAGCGATTATTTAATAGATAAAGGACCATCACAAAGTGCAAATTTTAAACTGGAGTCACCAAAGTCAAACAGATTCAACAATTTACATATCTGTGAATTGTTTTGTTTTTTTTAAACAAAAAAAAAAGTGACAAAGAAATCATAAGTCGAATTGGGATAACAAAAGATGCCTTCCAGAAGGTGATTAGAGGATTTGAAACAGGAAAATATTGTTGGAAACAAAGAAAAAAGTACGCCTATGTTTGGACGTTGAGTAGACGTGTTCACGTCTTCAGACCAGAATGAAAGAAAAATCTGTGTCCGTCTGTCTGTCTTTATGAGTATACGTGTGTGTACGTGTGTTTTCATATTAAAACTGTTAATGTTGCTTTTTTGCAGTCTCGATGAAAAAAACAAAAAACAAACTAAATGTACGTGTTTTTTTTGTGTTTTTTTTATTTGTTGTATTAAATGCTGCCAATCTTTGGTGCACTCGATACTCGCCAACATCGAACACTCCCTACCAGCTCGTATACTGCATTGGGCTACTACTTTTCTTTTTCAATGATCGGTGATATTATGCATGAGCAGGTTCTTAGGTTTACCGTCAGGAACTCTGAAATCAGTGCACTCTCAATGAATTTTATACTTACTTAATCTTCTATGTAGGATGGAGGTGATCATGATCTCCACCTCTTCCTGTCCTTTGTAGCATATATTTTATCTTTTTGTTATTACTCCCAAATCCTGGTCTACCATCCTTTTACTCAAGTGTATCAAATATATTACAGCTGCTTTCTTCTCTTCCTCTTTCTCTCAATCTATCCTGTGAGTATCAGATTTTCAAACCTCACCTCCTCATAAAGTCCCACATAAATTTTAACTGCCTTTTCCTGGTGTTAAATATTTTTGTTTCTATTTTCTCTCCTAAACCTCGATGTTCGATCCATGGTATCATCAGCATCTTTCAGTAGAACCACATTTTTGTTGTTCCAAGTATCTTCTTCATCTTTGAGGAGATTCTCCAGCATTCACTGTCATATACGAGGACTAATACTACATAACATTTTTTTTTGTTTCTGATGCTTCAAGTCTCTTCTTTATCTGTGAGGGAATTGTCCAGCATTTACTGCCATATTGAAGGACTGATACTACATAACATTTCAGTACTCTTTCTTTGTTTTTGTTTCTGTTGCTTCAAGTCTATTCTTCATCTGTAAGGAGATTGTCCCTCATTCACTGTCATACAGGAGGACAGATATTACAAAACTGCAATATTCTTTTCTTTATTTACATTATTTGGACTATTGTCCTCATCTTTGTCGCCATATTTATCACAACGTTTCGGCCGTTGTACGCTCCAGCCTTCTTCAGGTGGTTGGAATTTCGAACTGAACCGTTTATTTCGCTCACTGGGGTAGACTCTTCTAGTTCCACGTGCCATGTTTGATGGATGTCAGTTATCAGTTATCTCCTGCTAATTTCCCTCTGAAAGCTCTCCACTAAACGTTGTGATAAATATAGCGACAAAGATGAGGACAATAGTCCGAATAATGTAAATAATGTACATAATACCTCATCTCAGAAATATAGACAGATTCTTTTCTTTGTTTCTAACGAAGTTTTTCCGTCTCTTAATACTCTGCTTAGCTTTTAGAATGCACCTTTGACCACCTCAATAGATCTTCGGAGCTCAGTGTCGCACTTTCAGTCCTTTGTTTGAATTCTTCCCAGATATTTAATTTTTTTGTACTTGTTTGATTTTAGTGTCCGCAATTTATTCTTATTGAATCTTTTTATCTCCTGATTAAGCTGACAATTATTAAGTCGAAATTGTTGCGCTGAACTTCCAGCCCGTTCAAAGTGTGCTTTGGCAGGAAATCTCTATGAGACTCTTTTATTCTATATCTTTTTTGAGATTCCAAGACGTTTTACTGATTTCCATCATTAACAGCTATAATACAACAACAACAACAAAACTACAAAAACACACCGTTTTCTTCGTACATTCCGAGTGGAAGACGCCAAGTTCGCAGATATTAACGGTTAAAAGTAAAACACACACACACACACAAACACACACACACAAACACATACTAACACAAACACACACAAACACACACTACAACATGACGTTTCTATATTTTTGGCGAAGTAAATTGCGTGATAGTCCTCCTTTTTCTCACAACGTTGCCAAACTGTGCCTACTGTAGCGTTCAGTCGACAAAATCAAACAACGCGCATGCGCTGAATTAGATATATAAAATGACTACAATTTACCCATATATATATATATATATATATATATATATATATATATATATATATATCCTTACGCTAGTCTGTTTTTGTAAGACTAGTATATATATATATATATATATATATATATATAGATAGATAGATAGATAGATAGATAGATGAGTGTGTGTGTGTGTGTGTGTGTGTGTGTGTATGTGTGTGTGTGTTTGTATTTGTGTGTGCGTGTGTGTGTGAATAAAGACAAAAATAAAACATGTCTTTGCCGGCTCATTTCTTCTCCTGATGGTATATTCCATCAGTAGAAGAAATGACAAAAAGACAAATGGAAGGAGTGTATTTTGTAACATGTATATAAAAACAAAAGTAAAAAAAAAATGTCAGTTTTCATAATTTTTAAATTTAAGAGAAGCTCATAAATATTCATTACCTTAACTGAAAAGTCTAGATAATAATCTGACGCTACAGAATCTTATCAAAAGATAAATGTATACTCTAGATATTCCTGAAAGCCTTCCTCCTTTCCAAAGTCCACATACATGAGTATAAAAATGTTAAAAATTTAAAAAGAAAATGCTTAAATTCATAAGCTCATGTTATATAAATTATACAAAGCATAAATTTATCCGATACTAAAATAATTTAAATATAAAATAAATCCTCAACAACATTATTTACTCCCTTTCGTTTATTAGACGTTAAATTACATCACTTAGCATTTTCCATAATTTGCCTACGTTTTTCAATTCGCCTAATGAGCGTGTCTTAAGTTTAACAAAATTGAAAAACTAACCTCGTTTACCTTTCTTTATAAATACATGTTGCAAAATAAAATCCTTACATTTGCCTTAAGAATTTCCATTCAAGGAAGAAACGTGTTGGCTAATTAAACTTTACGTTTGGCTTTATTCATATTTCACATTTATGTTTCAGTTATATGTGAAATTTTTTTACACAC